GTCAAACTCTGCTTCGATCTCGTCTGTCAGGGTACAGTGTGAATATATAGCGGTATCTATTGTTCCAGATTTCTTTTGCTTTCTCGCTAATGGCTGATTTGCCCTGATCTCTCTTGCTAGACTTGTCAACCAGTCCACCCGCCGAACCGGGCCTGCGCCGTTTTTCCTCTTGTGTCGCTTTTGGAGACAGCACCGAGGTAGATTTTCTGTCATGCTTGTCTGCTCTCAAATCAAGTCCTGCCATTTTATGTTATGGGGATAAAAAGACCGTGTTTGTTGAAACTCAACCTTTTTCGTAATCGTATCGGCTTACTAATTGATAATTTATAGTGCTAGAGAGTAAGACCCTTCTGGGACGTTCATCCTGCTCGTAGAAGGCAAAGTAGATTTCCGCTCTAATTGGTTTTGTGACAGCAGAACAATTTCCCCACTTTCAAGTTCTGTATATGTGATTGTAATGAGATTGCCTCAGCTAATTTTGGAGGGTCCATCATCTCTTACTTCCGTTTAATGTATTGAAAGGCGCTTGCAAAGGTCTTTAGTTAAAAAAATGCAGACGTCTATCAGTGGAATTGGAGCTGGAAGTCGGTTGGCTGTGCATATGATTAGTTTAGGTAGTTCTACATCAATGCTTGAGCAGATTTGTCGCCTTTGGCCATAAAGTCGTCTCACGTCTAGATTTCCTCTTCTGCTCACTTGCTAGTTCTATTTCCCCTCCCTTCTCCTGTCCTCCAGGATGTGCTTTCAGCATTGGGTTCGCCAAGTCGAGTATACTACAAAACGGAGGATAAGATGATGATTCACCTGCCCCAGTCCTACCGAAAGATGCGGCAGCAACGCTGCGACTACTTCTATAACTACTTCACTCTTGGCGTGGATGTCCTCTTTGACGCGCGAACGCATCGTGTCATCACCTTTGTGCTTCACACCAATCAGCCTGGGGAGTACGCATTCAACATGTGAGTGACTGGCCTCTGTGTTTACTACGCTAGTCATTTTGTCGGGCTTTAGCAGTCGCCATTTCATCGCGTGAAGGTGTTGTTGATTCTAATTTAAAAAGATTCGACCCGTCTTTCTCTGTGGAAAGGAAAACTGGTCTAATTCCAGTATTACGAAATGCGATATCCGGTTTGTAGACCTAGTACATTCACTTTTCAAATGTGCTATTCATGAGTTTTGTAGTGCCTTCATTTATCCGTTTGTCCTTCTTTTTAGCTACTACCGTTGCATGTTCGAGATCCCTCTCTCAATCACCTCCGACGACGGCGAAGTCAAGTCGCTAGTGATCGACCCGTTCGTAAAGGTAACGTATATTTCTCTTCTGACGATATTCTCCTGTTCTTCCCCCATTTTACTCGTGAAGATATTGTAAGGCATATGAACTTACAGGTAGCTTTATTGCTAGAGGCTAGAAGACTAACTAGGGCTCTCTACAACCGGGGTGAAAACTGAATTGTGTGGGAGACTGGGGAGCATAGCCGCTACTTGCCTCCCATCATATTTTGACCGTCGTTCTTAGTTTGGGCAAATATTTTAGCGCTTCCGTTACTCGCAATCTCGTATTGCCTCTGAAGCGGTTACTAGCGGCGCGTAGCGTCTGAATTCCCAATTTTGAATGCTGTAGCCATCTAGGTGACAATTTTTTGCTCCCATTTCGTTTTTTTTTCTATTTTGATGTCAGATTCAATCCCTGCTTGAGGGCGTGATCAATGAGCAGCCTGTGGTGATCCACCAGGAGACGGCTACGCGCAGGAATCCTTTTGGCGTGACCAACGCCTACAACTATCGTGATCTTATCTTCGAGGTCAGTTTTCACTCCACCTGTGACCGAGTCAATTACGCCCTTGGTCGAGCTAATGTATGTCGGCTCGTAATGGCCTTGCTGTTCGGCAGGAGATGGCTACGTCTCTGTGGTGGGAGGTGTTGAAGCCAGTAGGCAGCCAGGGCGGGTTGTTGCATGGCTAGCAGGCAAACGCTCCCCACTTCATCAGAAGATGTAATTGGAGGTGGTTAATTAGGGCATGCGGGTTCGGTTTACTTCGACGCGGTTCTGACGCTGACAGTTCTTCCTCTGTTAGTCTGTTGTGAGGTTACTCATTCCTCCTTTGATGGAATAATTGGATTCTGCGCAGGTGTTGTCATGGGTCTTGAGGACAGGATTACATGTCTTATGCTCGGACTCTACGCACCAAACTTTGAGTCAGTGGATCGTAAGAGGGCGAAAGTAGATCATCGAGACTTCTAGGTGGACAACAGAGAATCTCGTTCCGCTCAGAAAACGACATTTGTAAGGCCCGATTTCCTCCCGAAGCTACCAGAGAGCTCGTAGGCTAATAGTGTTGGTGGCCTAAGCATGACTCCACGTCACCAATAGGTCGACCAAATCCCGTGACAGACTTTCCACAGATTTGCCGAAACGTATCCCCTTTTTAGACAGACCAGAAAGACGGGGTCGTGGATAATTCTCTCTACTTCCTTGTCTTTATAGGTGCTTCCGCAAAATGGCTATCTGGCCTCAGTGACAATCTACTCCCTGCCCGAGGAGGCTACATCCTAATTTCCACTTCGTCTATTCCGTCGAACTGTGCGTCATTCTCAGGATATTTACGTCTTGAATCTTCTCCATTTGCAGAGTCCTTCCAATCCCCCATTCACATGTGCTGATCCCTGTCTTCATTGGTACTTTTTATGTGGTCGTGCTTCACCAGATGCTTTCCAATATGGCGACAAACGTGTTTTTTTTTGTATTACACTTTATTTATGTTATTTGCTGGTAAATTCACCCTCAGATTTGGCCACTTTCTTTTTCCCTCCGAATGTTGCAGTCCCTTTTTTGGTGGGGACTTGAGGTCACGATGAAGGGCGAAGTCCTCTCCTCTCTTAGTAATGGTTCAAATGATGAGATATGAGTTTTTTGTTTGTTTTCTTAAAGGTATTCCTATAGCGGCTGTGGTTTTTACAGTGGAGCTCTTCTTCTCGAATAACCTCTTGGAAATACTGAGTGGAGTTTCGAAGTTAGTTCCAATTGATAAGTAGGTTGTTTACTTCGCACGGCACTACCGCAGCAAAAAATCCTTAAAGTTGAGATGCATTATGAAGGATTTTGGCCTTTCCGTTATGTCATACAAAAATTGACTGTGAGAACAGAGTTTAGTCAGGACGCCTCCTATTAGTCGGTGTCAAGGTCGCCACATCGACTCCGGTTTGCCTGACTTTGTCCGAGTTATTCCATAAAAGGAATTACAAAATCGGATTCTTTGGGAGCAGGATTTCATGACTTTTATGTCCACGACCCAAAAAAACGTTTAGTTTTATTATCTTTAGTCGGAAAGATCAATTCATTTCTATTCCGCGTGAGGGATGTTTCATACCAGGCACTTTGAAAGGTAGTTCCAAACCCTCAGGCTCGTATAATTGGCAGCCACCCATTCCTGCCTGGCGAACCGAATAGCCTACCAATTTAGTGTGATAAGGCTTGGCATTCTTCCATGCAACGAGTCAGGAAGAGAGTACATAACTTGGAATGAAGGGGCAGTCTTGATTCACCCGCTTCTTCTTGGCAGGTGTATGTGCGATGGAGGAACGAATTTGCCCTCGGTAGCGGCATAAGCGCTTGGCGTGGTGGACTGAGAGCTACCCCTCGTAGAGTCGTGTGGGAGTGGGTTACTTAAGGCTTCACGTCCAGTATCGAGTAACCGTCGTATCGATACTTTTCTTAGGTCAGTTTTACGGTTTTCCCAGGCTCGAGGGCGTTAACTTTTGTCACAGTTATTCATTTAATGGAAGTAAACGAGCTAGATTTCTGAAGATTAAACGAAGACCTTTTTTTTGAGTGGAACAGATTCAGCCTTAGGGTTGGTTACTGGTCTTTAGTTCCATTTCATCTCCACTGAACGCCTCAAATCTACTCAATGCTTCCTTTACTTACAATGATTTGAGTAGTAGTACCGACCGTATAATCCCTCAAATTCGTGTGTATACCCCTTAGCACGCATCAGCCTGACGTTTAGCATATGTAAGATTATTTTTGTCACGTATAAGCTTTAAAGTGGATAATCTTCCATGGTATCCGGATTACCACCACCAACATTCACAAACCCACCATTTGTGCTAGCATTTATAGAAGCATTATCAAAGCATCCTTTTCTGGCATCAGTGCAATCTGTCATGGGAATATGTAGAAGTAAGGGAGACGGTAAGATTTTCTATAAAGTTGTAAGAGAACACTGACGCTTTCTCCTTCGCTTAGCCGAATTTGAACATAAGGAACGAGAGGCCTTGGTAGGTGATGTAGCAGAAACCCTGTGGATCATGCTCGAAGTGGCTGAAACGGAGGAAAGTAAAGGAGAATGCTTAGAACTTAATACCAAAATCACGATTCTATTTTGCCTCCATTTTTGGCACGCAAAAATTAAAACTGTTCGCCCCCTTTGCTGATACCGTACCCGCATGGAGCGACCGATTCTTGACACCAATGAAACCCCAAACGCCAATTAGTAGAAGTCACATGGCGCTCGGGTGGGTGGGTTAAAGTACGGAAATTGTAAAGTGAGTTGTAATACGATAGTGGTTTATCACTCAGTTCCGGTGAGGCGCCACTTTTGTACTTCGAATTAGCCCCCTTGTACCTCGCTGGGTGGGCATGGCTTTTTGGGCCATGCCAATAGCCCAGACACCTTCTCCGTGCTGAATATATATATTCTGCATGAGTATTGTGTCTTCTTTCGTCTTCAGGGAGTCCCGGGACGCTACAGAGTGGGCCATAACTCCAGAAATTCCGATATACGGTTGCATTTCAATAGATCATCACGAGTAAATTCGATTTCTTTGCCTTGCGCAGTAGTCCTACAATGATTTCTTTGAATAAAAAGGCTGGTACTTGTATTTGTCTATTAAAAAACAACAAATCGGATTTTAGAAAACTATTTAAGCGTGAAACTTTACAGTACTAATTTGCAGATGGCTCCTACCGTAAGGAGTCGACTCCCATTCCAAAAGTGAACATCAAGTAGGATTCTAATCAGTAGAATTTGATTAACCCAGAAGTTATTTAACTAAATTTTGCAGAATCGACTTGGTGGCTCCAGCTGTATAGTTCCCCACATTAGCCCTCTTAACACACAAATTAACTATAATTCGGGGAGAAAATTAAATACAATAAACAATGCACCGAATGCCTAATGGCTAGGAAGGTGTTTTAATTCTTTTAAAAGTATTCTTTGATAACGTTATTTAGGTGACGCTGAATCGCTGTAAAAGTGTGATGAAAAAGCTTTACATCTAAAAGGCTATTACGAACATAAATTGATGCCAACACCTTACCTGTGGTTTGATCATTAGAACTAATAAAATGAAATTTTTATCGTAAAAAAATTTAAGTTATGGTTCTAAGCCTAAAACAACTTATCCTTATTTGTTATAATTAATCGGAATTTTGAAACTGTGAGGAATTCTGTTTGCTACAAAAACTAAGTTAGGGTGAGGCTTGTAGGTACCGATATTTAAGCGTGTCTCGCATGGATCGTTTAGAATCCCTGAGGACTTTGTGGGGACATTCTTAACATTAAAAAATAGCTATGACTATGTGGCTTCCCGTTCCCTCTGTGTTTCACGGTATCCTCTACTACGGTTTATTTTGGCGCGCTTGCATTCCCTCACCTACCTTCCGAAGTAGTCGCCGATGATAACATGCCAAGTGGGACCAAATTCGTCCTCAAGACGCGTCCTTAACGCTGTGCACATGTCCTCTGGATCGTCGTAATTATGGTACACCTGGCGCACATAGTAGAGGAAGTCGGCCTCCACATTTTCATCCAGGGATTTTCGGAGGAATCGAGGCTTAGACGAATGATCACTGGATGGGCCCGTGATACAGCATGTCTGACGGTAGTTAGACATGATTCGACATCACATCTGCCTCTTCTCTCACCTCTATTCTTTCACACCTTCCGCCTGTGCACACATTCACGCACCACCGCACTCTGATTGGTCTCCGCGTGGTGCCATTATCGACTTACTCGAGTGTGATGTGCGTGTGCGCGCTCCTCTCTGTCTGCCAAATTCGCTCTGAATGACACTTGGTTAATTGAATCCACCGAATTAACTGGTGACGAATTAATGTGCTTGTGTCTTTAAGTGGTCTTACCATGAGTACGCTCTCTGCTTCATCCACTCTAGTTGTATTAGGCTTGGAAAGGTGCTTCATGCATTAAATAAACTTTTTTGAGGGAATACGGAAATCGTTTTGGAGGGAAGGTCGTGAGTAATGGAGACAGTTTAGCATGGTGTTCATTCGAATTTACGGCGTCCTCGGGATGTTTACTCATTTGTGAAAGGATTAGGCAAAAATTCTCAATATGTGGTTTTCTAAAAACTTGTATTTTGCACTGATTAGGTGTATCGCCGTTTTATTAGCTAGGTTGCATTTTGAGTTTGCGAGGCAAGAAGCAAAAATCCAGTAGCCGAGTTGTGGTTACCACTGCTTAAAATAGGTGACTTGAAAAACCAACTGACCTTCCAAATTCTGGGCCTACGACAACGTGCCACATTTGACCGAACTTCTGATCGAGGCACTGCTTAATGGCAGTGCAGAGGTCGACGGGGTCAGTGTAGCATTGGCAGGCCTCGTAGACAGCTCGGAGGAAATAGGACTCCGCTTTCTCATCGAGGTCCATTCGCACGATCCGCGGTTTATTGGCGCATGACGTGGGGTCGGGATTGCTTCGACAGATGGTTTTCATGGTGAAGGCGTTGCTGTTAAGCCTACTTCTTCCTGCCTATTCCGACATATGCGCAACTGGCGCGGTTTTATAGGCAACCCTAAAACCACCGCATAATTTGATTTAAGCGCTACTCATAGGCACAAGCTCAGTGGGTTTGTATGTGATTTCTGCACAATAGAAAATGCTCCCTCCCAACCAAGGTAATCGCCTTAATTACTCTTGAGAATTTGTCATGCGTTCTCTCGAATGTGCACCAGATGCTTCTAGACACTTTACAACCTTCTGAAAAGTTAACTCTATCTGCAAAATTCATTTTATGATTAAAAGATTCTAATTAGCTGTTTGAGAATAAGAAAGGGGAATTTCGGCACCATTTTCATTATTAGTCCTCTTCAGCTTCCTCAGTTTTGCCTTACACGCCTGAACCCCCTTTGGTGTGTTGTGCTAGGAAGGAAAAGATAACGCCTAATTCCACTTCCAGTCATTCTTCTTATTGACTGCATTATTCTTGGCTCTCTTTTATTACCTCATGAAATACTTTATTTCAAAATAGATTTGCTCACTGATCTGTGTAACTTTGTCATGCGACATGCTACATGTTCCAATCCGTTGGATCTATCCACAAGGGTCCGGTTCGTGTAATCATTAGTGCCCTGAGTCTTCCCTGGCATTGTAATGTGTCGGAGAAGAGTTGGAGGGCCATCATCATGGCCCGGTGCGCCATTCTTCAGAGCGGGAGCGGCAAGTGTCATGCGCGGATGCCCAAGTACCCTCGTAGTTAATCAAGCAGTTAAACTAACTGTCAAATCACTACCTAATTACTCAGAGCCTTCCTTTGCAGTATTCTGTTCACCTTATCGAGTAAAATTGAGGTTTGCACTTCATACGGGGCCATGCCTTATTATAGCCACAGCTATTCAAAGCAGTTTTATTCTCATTCAAGGAAATCCTTGTTTGTTAAGTCTATGTGTAGCGCTTTGATTATTTGTTCAACTTTTCGTCCTAGTTACGCGGGCACTTGGGGCTCCGCCGTTTCTACTTCTGCTGGGCGGCATGACCTCCGCCTTCTAGTCCTTCTGAGCATCGAAGATATATTTTCCGTCCTCATGTAAGTCACTACATAACCTTTGAGGAATTCTTCCATTTATATACTTTAAACTAGTTATTTAATTTTGCCGACCCTAATCTACTTAGAATGATGGAAATGAACTTGCGCGTAGATTTAATCTAGTTACCGCATACATTCCTGAGCTCCTTAGTTATCTTGCATGCCCACGACTGCAGAAAAAAAATTGCGCTGAATTCGGAATCGCCTTGGAAATGACGGCGCGATTAGAAATACAATCATATTAGGCACATTCTCCTTGGAAAAGAAAATGGAGGTATGTACTACGTTCATTGTGTCATTGAAGGAATCTGGGGCTAAGTTTTGCCTCTTTTTTGTAGGCCACATTCAAAAGAAACACTAAAGGGGTAGATTTTTAATTTCTGCACTTGATTAATGGTAGTACAATTACTAACACAGTATTTAGTCACCTTGTCACATGACAAGCCCCGGTGGCATCACATCAAGAAATAGGAGTTATTAGATTTGATGTAATTCGCCTTTTTTACTACAACCTCACTGCCGTGGGAGTAGGATTGTAGGGCAGGGCGGTTCAGGGAGTTCCCACACACGCACGCACGCACACACGCCGGATTGAAAGGGATCAGGTTTCAGGCACAATCTGAAATTTGCCAAGTTGAAACCCACATTTCACATTTGCAAGTTAGGATTACTTAATTTGGTAGATTAGAGTGCTCTCCTTACCCTAGAAACTTTGTTTTACGTGCTTTATAGTCCATGGTGGAAAAAGGTGAAACTGCAAGGGCCACGATGGAAGAAGACCTTGACTCCGCACAGTCCTCTCTCCAAATGACGCAGTTTCAATCTGGGCATTCAACAGGGTGGCCAGTTTCTATGCAAATTTATGGAATAATGAAAACTTTCTTTGCTTTTTGGAACTAATGGGTTATGTAAAACAAAATTTGAGATGGCGATCACGGGTCACAATAATTTTATGGGCTGTTTGACTGACATGCGCTCGTATTGAGTCTCGTTTTTTGTTTTTTTTCTGGTTATGATTTACAAAGTCCATAGGGTCCAGGAGCAACAACAATATCCCCCTGATTGTGCGCACTTTGTCTCGTAATTTTTCAAATGTCTGGTAATTTCGTGACTTTCTGAGGGCTATGGTTGGTAAATCACAGACATCCATTTAAAGCAATAAAACGTGCTTACAGTGTGTCTAGAAGGCAAAAAACAGTAATGTGGAGAGGTTTAGTCAGCATTTTACCACCATTGGAATCTGCGATTCCCCTTCCCAAGCATTGCCACCGCCTCCACACTTGCAAAGCAATCCATTCCTAGCCACCTCTATAGACGTCTCATTTTTGTGCCTCATTTGTCCACTAAATTTCGTGCATATTTGATGTGATTGTCCACTGCTAATGTCAAGGAAAGTGATTTTATCTTGGAGCTTGGACAGGTGTCATCAGGCATCATCATTCCATTCCACTTCATTTCAAAGCGGTGGTGCTGCCACAGGCACGTTTAGCAGCGATTTGAAGCATAGTTTTGTATTGTGGTGTAATAAAATTGTGAGAATAAGAAAACCACATTATTTTAACTCATCCGTACTTGTCCTTTCTGTTTCTAAACGGAAAGAAAGTTTTTTTTTCACATACCATCAAGTTGTGTCGTATTGGATAGATGGATCTCAGTCATAACGGTTTTACCCTTAGTAAGGAATTCGTAGCGCCCAGTTGAGTCTGCAGCCCACCTCAGACATTCACACACACACAAGGCTGAAGTGACGTGTGTGCCTTCTCCTCAAAGTGTGCAATTGGCAGTCTCGGTACTGCCTCGCACTTCCATCCGGTTAATGAATACTGGAACAAAGTACGATTGCAATCGGTCATTCAACCAACGGACCAGGCAATCATTTGCCTAGTCAGCCAGTCGGTCAATCAGCGAACAATGTCAAGAGCACAACACGAATAGACGGAAGGAATTGAAGAGCATAGTGTGAGTCTCTTGAGTTTATTGTCTGTCTCTTTGCGCACCTGTCAGTTATATGTTGGCAGCACGCAGGAAGTGGATGAGTGAGACCCTTTTGCCTAGCTTTTGTCTTCCATTACTGGCCACTAGGCCTCCAACTTTTCCGTAGTTCCATAACAAAGTTGCCGTCAGATGGGTTTGTCCCCGCTACAATCTGGTGTTTATGGACGTGAGCTTGGATCCTGTTGAGCCGCCACCCCGATTAATCAGGTGGCCAGGGCTTTCATAAAGACGTCTTTATCCGCCGATGGGAGTGAGTGAGCAGAGAGGCAAAACTTGTGGATACGCGGTGAGCCGTCGACACGTGGTGGCTTCCAGTCCATTACGGCGATTAATGGAACCCCTAAAGCACCTCTGTCTGCAGGAGCGCACAGTTCTAGCGTGCTCTGGAAGTAACCACGATGGTGGGAACTGCAGGAGACTTGAAATAGGGACGTTGTATGGAGTTGCAGGCATTCTTAGATCGCCTTTTAGGGTTTATTCGACTGCTGCGCATCTATCAACTGGTTAGGTAACAGACCACCTCCTACCTAATGCGCCATTAAATTGGGGTCGGCAAAAACCACTTAATTGAACTACAAATTCGTTTCCGATGGGCTTAAAGGAGATCTCGTTCCCGCGACCATGTACTACGAGAAATGAAGAATAGAAAGGGAATTTTAACAAGGCATTTAAAAGATGTGCCGATTTCGCGTTCTTGTGATCCACAAGCATCAAAATTCGACCAAATAACCGCAAGATTCAGCTAACCCTAATTTTTTTCTTCAATTCCTAACTTCTGCTCTTTATTTCCTGATCTTGGTTACATCTTAGCCTGGTGCGAACCAACATTAACCTCCCGCAAAGGCTGCAGAATCTTCAAGTTGGGTAGATATAGTATTTGGAGAAGGCGCGGTGTCAGGAATGACCTAAACTAACCGACTGATCGAGGTGTCTACTCTTGACAGCTACGAGGAACTAAGTGGGGGATCGAGGTGTGAAGAGGAAATGTCAGCAATGTTTGATGTGAGTGGTAATGAAGCACTTGATCTGCATCCACATCAACCGAGAAGCGGAACTGGTGAAATGCGAGAGGCAAAGACTCGAACAGACGGACCGAAAATAAGCTCGAAAAACCCGCAATGTGCTTTTCACTTCCTTCGCGTATAGGATCCGGCCCCTTGAATGCGGACGCACCCGACGAGGTTGCAAGCTGGGGCTGTAGCCACCTCCACCCCGCCGTATCAAGGTGGGACCAAGTTTTCATCGCCAAGGTGGAATTGGTGGCAAGACAGATTGCAATGGTGATTATTTCAACGAGATGTATCAAAACACCACCCAAGCTACTTTTTTGGGATGTAAAAAGGGGACAATTTGCTAGGGGAAGATCTTTGATGCCTCCGAGCTTTCTTAGAGCGAAAATCTGATCCTGATACTCCATGTGTCGGAACATCACCATCAAGACTGAGACTCTTCCAGCGTAAGACTGTAGAACTGGAACTGTGGGCAGTTGCAAGGTGGTAATAGAAAGTTTACTTGGCAGTGCCATCTCACCCTACACCAGTGACCCCTCCACTTGAGGTCTTGAAACAATCCCAACGACGGGATAGTGCGCCGCTTTACTTCACTAAGTATCTCAACCAGCATTTCAGTGAATGAATGCATCTGTGGTGACGTGTTAAGGAGTGAAAGTAAATGCCCCTCTTCTGTGTTTTGTCGGTTCAACTTGTCTACAAGTGATGCCCAAAAACTCTTGCGACAATTGAATGACATCATATTCACTCATTTCTCGTCTAAAAAGAGGTTCCATGGGAGAAGAGAAGACGACCAAACCTAGCAACGGAAGAATTGCTTTAAAGCAATTCAAACAGCCGATTCCAACAGTTCCTCGCTTAATTCCAATACAAACTCCGGTGATGACATACAAGTGTCCGGCTCTAGAATTACGTCGACAGTGGCAAGAATAAAGGGATCAGTTGGAGCGAAAAGGGGTGCCTGCATTGCGTAGCCCCCCTCCCACTCAGCTTAAACAATTCTCGGCTATACGAACACGAAAAGTGAGACAAAAATCGGTCTCTGTGTGATTAAAAAGTAGGATGAAATTAAATAAATTATTGTCTTCAATAAGTATGTGAGGATGGAGACGGTAAGCTAGGTCTTACGAGCAGAAGCCGAGGTGGGTAGAATAATGGGTGGAGGACGAAGGGGCACCATAGGAGGGGTGGGGTCGATGTTCTCATAGGTTCGCGGCGGCACCGTAGGGCCAACGGGTGCGGTGGTGCCGGGCGGAGGCAGCGAGTTCTCCTTCATCCTCATCTCCGTGCAACTCAGCCGCAGTTGTGTTAGATCAACTGAAGAACAAAAAATATGGAAAGAGTTGAAGCAGTATGGCTTAAGAGGCAAGCCAGATCCGTGCATAGCTCAAATAGATGGACAGGCATGCGGAGTGCAACAAGGCAACTGGTCCCAATCAACACATCGGTGGTGCTGTTCAAACTTCACTCGCCGCCTTGAGTGCCACTACAGGTAGGCGACAATTACCTAGCTTTAGTCTTCTACTAATTGTTCTGTTGCCATTGGTGCTGAAAGTACTGCAATCCGGTCTCCATGCCGTAGTCTTGAGTAGTTCCCGTGAATAGGTACGCTTTGTTCTCTGTGGTTGTCAAAGGTTGAGGGATTTTCGCCGCAGGAGTCAGACACATGTAAACAACTGCTGAACTGCATGCCACACAACAAAGGCGATACAAAGCTTCTGCACCTTTGAAACCGGATCACGCACGGTTCGTGAATTAGAAAACCTCGATCTGCATCCATGCGGTCAGTTTAAGTGACATTTGATAAGAGGAGGGTTCCCAAATAAGAGGGACCGTGGTGGAGGCCAGAAGAAGCACCGCGCCGATTGACTTCTAGATCAGCAGTCCAATACACTCTAGCCTGATGCTTTTTTCACCTGTCAGCGCATTAGGTCACAATGTTCTACGACTTTCTCAGGTGCTATAGATGTAAAGGAGTCGCTTCTTCCCTCCCAATTTACTTCAATGCGCAGCGGGATATCACTTGCCTTGATGCCCATTCTTGACGCGTGTTCGGGTGATTCGTCAAAAGACGCCAAGTTTTTGGATGGTACGTTTGACTGCCCCCTCCACCTTCTCCGCATTCCATACACCAAGTTTGACACGTGAACCGGCTGCACCTGTGGAATACGAGTTAAACTCAAGTAGCGAAGGCGGATAAAGTCAAACCGGATCCTTTAGGTTTATTAGGCATTGAAGAACGCCGTATCGATGGTCTGACGCATATCCAGACCCCGTGATGCATGCGCACAAACGATCTCATGCGGTTAACAAGACCTTCCGAAGTAAATATCAAGTCTGTCTGGAGACCTATACCGAAAGCCGCGCGGACGCAACGCTAGTTGGCAACACCGTAAGGTCAACTGCTACGAGGAATTAGTAATCACGACCGTCGTGTATGATCGGCACACCCAACCACCCCTGTGGCATCCGAGGTAGAGGCGCCACCATTTCGCAGCCCTCTAGCCTCCCTTGGCTGAGACTCCTCTACTAAGAAACTGCATTCAGGGTCGGTCCTGTTAATGCTTAATTTTTTTTCTCGATAGTAAAGCAGTAGAGCATTTAAGAACTCTTGATGTTGTGCTCTTTGCTAATTCCAACTGTGGAACTTCATGCTTTTTGCTTCAACAGGCCACTTCAATTTAATCTGCACAATCAACCACCTCTGCTACTGAAACTTGTTTTTAAGTAGTAGCACTTTGGCGTTTCTCCTACTTCTTCGGCTATTTCACTCACTTGGGATAGTGTTTTGAGGATGATGCACAGAGACGGTGTTCCTTCAAGCCGGTTTTATGCATGACCTATCTATCTGTCAACCTGAACCGCCAAATTAAGGTTGAGTGCGCTTTATAACTTCTTGAGTTTCTCTAGCTTCGCCAAATTTAGATCTCAGGAATATTGGAAGAAGCGGACACACGCAAATTCAAGGGGGACAGAATCCCAAGGATAATCAGGTCATCATCATCAGGCCACACTCACACGCACACCACTAAAAACAAACTGCAGAAATCAGCCCGTGTTAATGGGAAAAAAGTGTGCAGAAACACCTCGTTACCTTGTTTGTTCGACTGCAACTACAAAGCGGTGGGAAAGCTGACGCCTTTAACTGACCTTTACTACACCACATGTAGAAATTCACTGACTACTTAAACTCAAACGTCAACCAGACTTACGTGGTTTGAGAGCGCCCTTCGGGAGGCCACTGCCGCAGTAGAGTTCAATGATTTGCAGAATCTTTGCGTCTTTCTCGTTGCGTTGTGTGACCTCGTCTGCAAATTGTAATAAAAGGCTGAAGATAGGCGGATTAAGTGGAGAGAGTGAAATCAGTAACTCCGGGGAGCGTCCGGGGGGGGGGGGGGAAAGGGGCAGATAAATCATGCTCAAATTAGCGGTGTGAGGGGGCCCGACGTAAGCGCTAGTGAGTGGGGACAGCGCGCACCACTAGGGGCAAATCGTAGAAGACACAAGCAATCAAATGTGATGACAGTGATGATGACCGAAGGGTCTCGGAATGCTTTCCGACGTGCTAAACTTCAATGCAGGCTCCTCCATGGCGTCACGGTGCAGTGATATTGGCCTTCCAGACCATCTGCGAGTGTATAAGATAGCTGCTTCCCCATTTGAACAGGGAATTGTAAAACACGTCGACATTAAAGAAAAACTTAATTTTGATTAACATCAGTTATGATGAAGCACAATACTACGGCATTCGACGTGGAAGAAAACGGTAACAGTTGATCTCGTGAATGGCCTTAGAACTTCTCGCTTAAGTGGAGAAGTGGTGGTCTCTGTCAATTACACGGAGGTCAGAACTGAATGGAAATGAACCTTACGTAGCCTACTTAACTCGCCCGGCGGCGGTGGTCGAGAAGATAGAGCTGGTAGACGCCTCGCGTGAAACACTGCCTGAGTAGACTAATTATCGTTATCAATCGCACCACCAGATGGATTTAGAACATGTTATATGGTAGTGAGGTGGGGATGCACTACCACCACAGGTCACCACTAAGGCGTGGACAGGGGAGGGGGAGGAACAGCACAAGCAATCGTGCAGGAGAGAGAGAAGCGATCAAACTATCAGCAGCATGAGCATGAACATAAACAGCGGCAGTGCACTATGTGCTGAAATGCTTGTATTTACGAAAGTGTCCAGTCGAGCGTAGAATATCGTCCGCATTAATAGCACTCTTCTGGCGATCTGAAATTGTCCGCAGGAGGAGGAGGAGGAGATGAGGAGAGGGTTGATTGTAAAGGCACCATAAATGGCAGAGCAAGACAAACACTTACCTGTACGCAGGATAACAACAAAAATAACAACACCTAAATCTGTTTACCCTTATATTGGTTCCTACCATTCCTTGAAGGTCCGTGTACAGCTAGTATCACCAGGGCTACCTCAGGCCTTATGTACTGATAGCTTTGAATATCAACAGAATTAGTGATCCACATCTAAGCCCAGGGCTCAACTACATTTGGGGGTACCACACCTTTCTGAAGGGTTTTCAGAAGTGCTGCAAACACATCAGCCGTATTGCTACAGCATTTTGGCGAGTCATGCTCCACTAGCGTTGCCAATAAGATGTTTTCTCTCATCTGCCAAAATTTAATAATGGAAGACTACCAAAGACCCAGCTTTCGTAGGAGCTAAAACCACACAAAAGAGAGAGAGCCTGTGAATACACCCTTTCTCAAGAGACACGACATGCTCAGCGGATGAATTCAGACTGCAAAGTTGACAACAATTGCTAATTTTCAGATGATCTACTTATGCCATATAAGTAGCAAGGCCTCTTGGTCATACCGGTACGCTTGCGTCGCATGACCTTGCCGGCAGACGCGGCGGCCCCTCGGCCCTCACCACTGGCGCCAGATCGTCCAGGTGAATTGGGCCTGGAACCGCGATTTCCGTGGCCACCCGCGAGGGTCACTCGAGCACCAGATCGGGGAGGCATTTCCCCACCGCTGCCAGAGATTAGTGAACAGTGGGACTGCAGTGGGGTGCAGTCGAGACGTAGATGGGTTAGACGGTCCTCCTGTTGGTTTTGGAGATTTTGTTGAGGGTTTTTAAAGGCGCTTGAATGAGCGACTTCTTGACGCTTTGGCATGGTGAGGATGTCCTCTGTGGAGACAGAGAAAGCGAGAGAGTAAACGTGGGGATCGGAGAAGAATAAATGGAGGAAATGAGAGGGAGCCAAATGACAGACGCTAAGATTAAGGGATAAGAGCGAGTCTGCTAACCAGGCCACTTGACAAGAGGTCGAGTCCGCACTTCGTGCGATAGAAATCGACATCCGGGTAGATTGGTAAGATCGGTGACAGCAATAGCGTTAGTACGAGGCGGTGGTGGTGGTGGCGGTGAGGTAGAAGGGGGCGTAGGCACATCATCGAACGCCTCCGCCTCTCTATCTGCAGCAGGACCGCAAATCGGACCGGAGTGAGAGGAGCGCAGTGCAAAGAGGTGTGGCGCAGCAGTGCCAGCAGCGAAGCCGGAGCACCCGCCTTCGTCGGTAGCTCCACCGGCAGATCGACGACGTAGCAACCCCAAGCCGCCCGGTTTGGCGGCCCGTGTAGCACTGCGCTGACGCAGAATGGCACCACCTGCCGTCTTCAGGGAAGTTTATGGTAATAGAAACAGTAAAACAAATCTGAGATATCCCCTAACATTGCTGCCTTCCGATAGCCCATAAGCCCCGGGTTACTGCTCAAATGTTATTTGGTGCTACAGACCTACTAGCGTGCAGTAACCTTTGTTTGCGCAACTCATTTACCAAAGAGATTGCCTGAGCAACAGCGCTGTGTAGTGGGCTTCTCCTTGAGAACTGAAAGGAATGCAAATGAATACGTTTTACTGAATAAAAAGATGTCTCAAGTCACTATGGGTAAGAAGTCGAAAGCAAAGCAGATTAAGCGTTTGCGGTGCAAAAGTGAGGATTCTGCTATCCTCCAATTAAGATGGGCATTTCATCACTTTCAAAGCAGGGTAATGAGGAAGGTTACACGTGCAGAATGCTTCAAGCACAGTAAACTGATAAGTCGCCCATCAATAAGACATCCAAATAGTGTGAATGTTCCAAAGACGCCCTGAAGGTCTCCACGACGGTGACGATTCCGATCATGGAGGCCCTGTAGACAATCCTCAACACCGACAGTCAACCCCGCGACCAATTGGCGCGTGGAAGAGTACCTCCTCAACAGATAATGGGCGCATAACTTGCCGTGAAGTTGTACACAGGAATCCGTGGGGACGGTGAACACAATCATTTGCAAATGGCAACACGATGGGACCAATGAAGAGGTGAAGCAACTTGTCCTGGATTGTTTCGGTGTCGAAGCTACCCAGGTATAAGTTGGACGTTTAGACCCAAAATAACCTTTTTAACGTTCCTTATCGACGGTCCACCCCAGCCCTTCGATATGTTACTAACAGCCCTTCTTCCAAATCAGTGCGGCTTCAGGGCTGACTCATACCAAAGAAGCAATCCCAACTTCACTGTCTAGCTTTTATTCATAAGTGTAGAGAAGAAAGTTCATTATCGTGGCGACCGAAATCACAGCGACTTTTAACAACCACCTCGATTTCCAGTTCTGTACAATGGCTACCACCGAAGTAAGACCACAATTTAGTGAACTGGGAACGTCCACTAGGAAGCTGCCTACTATTTCTCGAACAATGTCACCAAGACGGTGGGGGCAAACTAGATAGGAGATTACATAACAGGATGGAGGAGAGGAGGAACAAGTACCAAACATAGCCCCATGAAGTTACTGCATTAAGGATGTCGACTATTTCCGAGCAATACCAAGTCGGCTTACCCTTAACACACAGTCCGAAAACAATACTGTGAGCCTTTAAGATACATACTCAGCGTTGAAGTAGACAGTCGTTCTACTGATGGAGAATCCTAGCACGATTTTTGTCGTTCCAATCTCCCATGTTTGCCTTTAAGGCGCCCGAATTCCTTGTGATGATAGAGGCAGTGACCAAAGGTAACGCCAAGGCCGGAGTGATTTGGCTGCCGTGGCGGTGTTAATCCCACATGGAGTAAGACTTCCCCAACTCCTCTAAACGCCTCGAGTACCATGGTCATTTCGACCCCGAGTCGGCAGGATTCCTATCTGGGTCCAATGGCAATCTATTTGCTTTTTCGTTTCAGTTATCTATTAAGGATGGGTTATCTCTTCAGGTAATCCTCGTCGGCTTTGCTAACTCCACGAAGTCAGTCGGGAGAGAGACAGATTTGATGATAACATGAACGACACATCTGAAGTGAATACAAGTTATTCACAGGTCTGTAACTTGAAAGGAACTGCTGCTTTGAACACACCCTGCCCACTGAAAAACCGCAACACCATTTCCGTGTGGCAAGTTGACCTATGCGGACACCCAAATCGCAGCCACCATATTGTTGCAGCGCTCTGAACTGGTCATTTGCGGCAACAGTCCACAAGCCCTCCTGTTGAGCCTCTGCGGATTTGGTCATCAACAGCAGATATCCGCCCGTTGGGGCGTTTGATCGTGCCATGCAACTAACGAAATCGGGATTTTTACCACGTTGGGTAAGACTGATACCTGCTCGAGCCCTCTTCAAGGAGGACAGCTTTACTGGAGATGAGCAGAAGGATTTGTGGGCCATTGGAAGAAGCGACCTAAACACGAACACCATGACGCCAAGGTGGTGAGCAAAGCCCACATTTAAGCCAAGTTCTACGGGATATTTGCGTTCAGACGCGGAAGGCGTACAAGGCGAAGCCTGGGGCAGAAATGCTGTGGCATTCCCCAGGCCATCAACCCGACACGAAACCGTGCACAAGACCACGCGCACAAAGCAGAAAAGTGCGAATCACTGCCGTAAGATAAACGCCCTACAAGTCGTGGTGGTACCAAAAAACGAATGCAGAACTGAGGAAGGGAGGACCAATCAAAGGTGGAGAGATGTGCAAGTTGTGCGGTTGTTAGGAGAGCCTATGTGCTGATGATGGGAGGTAGAGTGGAGAAGGGTGGTGGGGGAGGGTTAGAAGAGCGCAGAGAGAGATTACCGCATGACGGAACTTCACCCTTTCTATTTCCCACTGAAAAGGCATGGCAATGATGTGACGATGTGATGTGAGCAAATGAGGATGAAAAAAAAACCTCCAAATAATGATAATGCCAGAGAGTATCTGGCATTGAAATGACCAGATTAAGAAGTGGAATGAACAAATTAGAAGCGAGAAATTAATAAGAGATAGACTGGAGGCTTCTTAAAAAAATGGAATTAGACCCACCTAGGTTGAGCAATTTAGTTTAAATGAGCAAGAACATAGCATCGCAGTTGCGTACAGAACGAGTCCTCTTGTGTGAGAGGGAATACTGCTTATTAAGGAGAAGGTGGCTAGCTTTGTGAATGTATTTTGATTCAATAGACCTCCATGCTATGACGGTATTAGGGTTGAGGATCATATCAAGCAGTCAAATTGACAGAAGCAAAGGGGTAAGTGCGTATGAAACACAAATGAGGACCTTAGAAAGAGGTGTGTTACCAGTAATCTGGACTCTGTACCTACACACCAACTAAAGGTTCGCTTCAGTTCAAAAAGAGGAGTATTTTGGGAAAGTAAAGCCGCTAGATGAGCAAGCTGCCATGCCTTTGATGATTAATGGGAGTAACGGCAAAAGGACTCACTCAACGCAATAGTCAATGTCAAAGTAACAAATCTAAGGTGCTTCTAAAGGGTTTAAATTGGCAACAATTGCGCGGTTTCTCTCAGGACTGTAAGCTTAACTCGACCCCCGCCCATCAGTTGCATGAAGAAGGAAGCCTTTTTTAGTCGCCAGCTAAGATCGTTTATAAATCCTCTTTCTTGATCAAATATCGCTGCTACATAGAACACTCTTCCAAATTCCACATTAAAAGACCTCCAGATTATGATGATGACGGTAATGTCACTACTTCAACGCTACCTAGAGCCAGTAACTAGCATAAATGGTTAAGTGAGTAGTTTGTAAAAAAGGTGTAGTAATTACAAGTTAAGACTCAAATAGATCGGTGCTGGAAGGTCAATCCACCTTGAAATCGGGTCCAACCTGACTGACTGAACTTGTACCGTCCTGCCAACCTCATGAGTAGGATAGTTGGCAGATAAAGAACGACAGACGCACAGGAAGCAGGATGCAAATTAGCAGCAGTTACGACCTTGGAACAAAACAACCACTCTGCGAAAAACTTGGCACGCGCCTCGTGGTTATGTAAAAACGAGGAAATTTGTAAGCGAGGAATGTTGAGGCATATGCAAGACTGGCGTTTATTAAGCAAACGCATAAAAACCAGATGATGATAATGATAACACCATTCCTTTGACGAGACGTAGAGCCAACTCACCGTACTGATTATGCCTCTGGACTAAAATAGGTCATTTGTAGAAGTAAAACTTGACCTATAAAATGTCCGTCAAATCAATCAAAAGGAAACCTCGACTAGGTAAACAAAGAATTACTTTTAAGTAAGAAGTGCAACCGATCAGAACCACGGCTTGGATGAGTAAAGAGAGAATCACTCCGTGGGTAATGCACGCGCCGCTCCTGAAGGAAACTAACCTTCGAGTTTCGGATAAACTCTATGACTGTAGAGTAGAAGAGGTCACGAGTGCACACCCCAGTGCACCAGAGATGAAGGTTGTGCTCCTCCGACGGTAAACTGCCACCTGGTGAAGTTAGGAGAAATAAATTAGTGCTAGCCAACCACCATGGAGGTAATATCCTGCGCATAAAGGAATCACTTACCTACAATCTTGACACTAATCACGTTTTCATTCTCCTGCAAAGCTGTCACCGTGATGTTTGATATAGGTACGTGCATCTAGAAGGGGAGTGTTTGAGCTTACTGAGGTGGGATCAACTTACGCGAAACTGGTAGACCCAGGGAGCGACAGCAGAGAGAATGAGAATGAAGCTGGGGTAGAGGAGGAGAACAGCTTGGGGCTTGGAGGAATCAATGACAAAATGACCGTCGGCGTCAGCAACGCAAATGCTTGCTTTCAGGGTCAAGGTTGGATCGTTCATTTGGGGACGCGACTGCCGCAAGAAAACACAAAAACAGCAAAATCAAAACAAAAGTAGTCCTAAGATGACGATAATATGCACTATTATTACTCCGACAAATCGCTTGCAAAAGACTTCCGCCTGCCTTAGTCAATTGTAGAGTCAGTGAACATTGTCAACTAAGAATTAAAGTCGAACCAAAACAGATCTAGCCAATGTGTCGGACGTTTGCACTTGTCGAGAACCAGCAACGTATAGCAAACCAACGCTGATTAGAAAGGAGTCAAATACAACTACACTCCCCTCCAACAACAGCCCAGCCTCAAACTGGGGCAACTTACCCAACTACCAAGTTTTCTTAGAGTGCTGAGTTACTTCGAATGGTCAAATATCTTCAGTAAAAACAAACCGGACAAAATTTTGTTATTTCTATTGTAGTACACTTGTTTTTAGGTGTTTTTATTTCAGCTTTGCCTCACACAGACCTTCTTTTCAATAATTGGAGTCGCGTGCTAATACAAAATTTCCCAATCCATACATTCGGCGCTACTCATTACCAAAACAATCAACAATGATTAGCGTCATAATGAAACTTGGGTGAAAAAAAAAACTCTTGGCTAAACTGCCTATCCAAAAAAGGCTGCCATGACGCACAGTCATAGCAGCACCGAGAAAAAAAGACAAAGCAGGGCTTCAAATATATCGACTTAAGATCCAAAATTGGTCACCTGATCGGGAAGTCCACGAATTTCTGACGAAAGCACCTCAATATCCACTTCCCGCAGGTTGCGAAGCAGATCACAACGGTCCAAAATCTCTGAATAGACTTGCATCGCTTTGCAGATTGCTGTTCTGTCAGGATGAGGATCCTAAATGAGAGCAATTGAGTTGAAAACACAACACATAATACCTCATAATAACGCTCCGTTTCCTTCAGCAGAATGGGATAACGTGAGAGTCGATCGTGCACACTTGCAAAGAGGGATTTGGTCTTTGTGGAATACAAATCTTGACCGGCTGCGCCAACAGCAACGGGGATTGTTGTGATGGCCTCCTGTAGACCAAATTCAATGTATGCACAGGAACGTGTGTATTCACCCGCTAACTGGTCCATGTTCTTAGCAACGTCTAAAAACAATTTCCCAACGAATTTCGGCCGCGACAGCCTAAGTAAACACTTGGCATCGTAAAAGCTGCATTACGGTTTCATTTTTTCCAATGTTCTTGCAACAGATTCGTGTAAACGAATTATTTCTGCTAACTTGTCCACAAATATTGACAACTTGGACATGAATGCGCTATGCAGAATGAAATTACCAAAATAATGGTTACAATTCTGACAGCACTTCGACATTGGGTTTCAAAATGCGTATAAGCAGGTTCAAGTCAGCTATTTGTTTTGATTCGCCCTCAAGGATATGTTGCACAATCTAAAAGGTAGATGATGCCCAACACAAATCTCACCTCTTGTTGAAAACTTAGAAGGTGGCTGGTGTCTGCGGATCTAGAACATGAAACTAGGTGAGTGCATTAACAAGGTATATAAATTTTACGCATTTTCCGGACATAATTGCTGGGAAACCAACCCTGTGTACCGTTTAATTCACCGTGCCACCAACCGCCATCAATTTCCTTCAAAACTTTGATTATGTCACCGGTTTTAAAGGATAACTGGGACAGTGCAGGGGTAAAAAAACCCAAACCTCGTCGAAATGTTGTCGGTCGTAATCAAATAATGCTTGTGCTTCCGTTGTGACTGCTGACTCCATCGCCTGATTCTAAACGTATAGCCCATACGGTGAGCTAGTAGGTTATTTGCGCAGGCCGGGCTATTTCGGCCTTTTGTTAAAAAAGGCCATTGTCTGATTACTTGTCACACTTAATGTTTTGTTAAGCCTTAAAAATTGCCTATCATTCTATCACTGCCACATATAAACAATTTATTCTAGCATAAATGTTAACTTTTTTACGTTTTTAGCTATTTTTAGGGGCGTTTGCTTAGTGCTGCTACAATTTTTATGGGGTTACCAGTTAAAACAATTAATAAATGGAATTGCAACGTATAAATGACTGTAGCCCGTACTGACCATGCGAAGAGTACATTTTTGGGCAAATAATGCATAACTTGAGGTTGGTATTTCTGCATTGCTTTTACCAGCAATTATTACATGCTTGCGCAATTTTACATTGTTCATCCAAATACGCGATTTGTCTTGCTGAGGTCTTTGGGTTATAAGGTAGCTAGTTAGGCAGGTTTAATGCTTTGGCAGCACCTTTTCTCCATACTAAAAGATAAATTTTCCAAGCTTCCCATGATCGTTGATTGTAGCGTCCCGAGATTCCCTGAAGACGAAAGAAGACACAATACTCGGGCAGAATACATATTCAGCACGGAGAAGGTGTCTGGGCTATTGGCATGGCCCAAAAGGCCAGCCCACCCAGCGAGGTACAAGGGGGCTAGTTCAAAGTACAAAAGTGGTGCCTCACCAGCGCCGAGGGATAAACCACTATCGTATTACATGATCTCTTTTCTATGTGAATCGAACCCTTGCAGTGTGCAATGTTTTACCTCTCAAAATTCTCAATTCAAGAGTTTTAAGTCAAAGTTGGCAGGACACAGGATAAAGTATCTGCGGTGCCAAAAGTATTGGTAAACTTTCCAACCTTCTAAACCGGTGCAAATTTCCGAAATTGGGTTCTGGTTTTAGACTTAGTCATGAAAATATCTGCTGTTCCAAAAGTCCGCATAATCGCCAAAAGAGATTAGGTAACCTTGCAGGCTTTTGCAGTTCCTCAAGAAGAGTAGCCATTATGATTTTGATTTTGATTTTTCGAACTTCGTTACATGGATTTGCCGGCCTAAGGCCGTGGTCATTCTGCGCCCATATTTTTTGTTTTTGTTTCAATGCTATCTAACTGTCCGTCTGGGTTTTGTCTTAGTTGCTTAAAGAGTGAGAAATGTATTACGCTTTTACATACTTTATTTAGACAACATAGTATTCCAATGATGCATGCCTCCGAATAGTTCAGTTTTGATGGCATTCCAGTTAGTAACTGCTTTCTTGTAGGACGCACGATTGGGTTGTCTTATAAAATGGGCTAGGCTTTAGTAGCCTCCATGTAACGCGTCTCTGCAGGTTCCTACACCTCTAGCTGATATTTTGCTTCCTTTACTTTTAACTTTGGTGTAATTCACTCATTTCCTGCTTGCTTACCACTGCTCCTAGCAGAATGCGCTGAGTCATTCCTAAAGACATACTAGGTCCTATGACTATGGAAGAAGATTTATTACATACGTGGAGGCACGTTTGGGGATGTGAGCGTGAGCAGAAAGCCTCGTCACCATCAAGGCAACCGAAATCGCAAAAAAAAAGGTCTGCGCCGCAGGATTTAAAGACTAGACTGAGATTATCTGGTTCAAGTTTTGTTGAAGTACATTTACGTTGAGGGGGGATTATTCTAATTTTTAATTTTAGATAAACCATATCTGCCACGGCTCCGTTCTATAATTCGCACAGGCCCGCTTTCTAACATTGGCTTCCATGTATTTTCTAATGAATAGCTATGGGTTTTGCTTACGTAGCTAAATAAATGGATTTTATGGAAATGATGTTGGCACAGATTTCACTGTTTTCACTTATGGCTGTGTCGTTCATTGTTCACAATACATCAAGCAAATTGGTTGCTACTAACAAGAAAATAAGTAGAATATCTCTTCAGTGCTACTGATCTAAAACCGCAGTTCTATTTACCCATATGCAGAGGGAATTTTTGTGATCACTAAACTGTCACCTCTACTTGTGTAAGTTCGCGGCTAGTCATGAGGATTTATTTCAACGAAAACCCACAAAGGTCATCGTGTTGCAACGAGGCGGTGTTGCCGCTCTCCATGACTGTTGGGATTTCGGGAGCAAATGAACAAACCTCCATCTTCGGCGACTCCATCGAATCCCTTCACGGGGATGAACAGCATGAAAAGAATGTCATCTTGGCCTGCATTCTACTTCTATTCACTGTTGATTAATATTGTTTTTCCTGTTTTATCCAAAAAAGAGGCTTCGCAGTGAGGATGTTTGCTTCATGAGAGAAGAGTAGAGTAAACAACCATACGACCGTCTAGTCAAGTTGATATAGGGAAAAAAAAATATGATCATTCTACGGTTTGTGCGAGGTTTTTTGCTCTTTAGCATACTTTGCACAGGTACATTTAATGTACGTCACTTTTGTGAAGCCAAGCAGAAGGCCTATTACACTTCCGCTTATTTCTATGCCATAGCAAAGGGATCGGAACTGAGAATCTGTGCTTGCTTTTACCATATATGCATTTTTGCTGGATTTCGGTGACCCAAACATTTTCCCGTTTTGATTTTTCCCAAAAAGGAAGAGTACAGGGCTTTTTACGAGATGGAATTTGAAGTGGGAGCATTTTGAAGTGGTAAAAAATCTTTCACCTACTGCCTAAGTTTTCAGCTAATTGGGCAAATGTCATACAAGAATTTGATTGGCTACTTGCTTCTCAAGATTACCCAATCAAATTCTGCACCACTTCCAGCAGTGCTCCTAGTCCATCCTGAAACCAAATCATAATGCTCAGGTGGAGACCGTAGATCTGACGTAAGGAAGGTCTAGGGGAAACCACTGGCATGCTCTAGAGATCATGCTGCCCGGAGAAAATGCAAACGGCGGAGCCTTTAATGCCCTAGTAACCATAACCCTGGAGTTATGCAAATAGTGCTAAAAATGAGTTTTTGCTAGCAGCCTAACTTATAAATTTCATCGTATGCCAATGAGACTTATTTTAAATCTACTAATTACTATCCTATTTTTTAGCCAACTGGGGACATCTCCTACATGCATCTGATTGGCTACTTGTTTTTCCAAACTACCCAATCGAATTGTTGCAACCATTCGTATGGTTAACATTGACTCCGGTGATCTCAGTCTTTAAGATGGCCTTAAACGTGCAGCATTATTTTTAAATCGTATTTTTTGTGTAGATGTAAGGCGAATTAAAGTTATTTGTGAGCATAGTATACTATCGAGACACCGGAATCTTGGGAGAGAAAAGGCATAACGCAATCTTGTCGGGATTTGGCTTACTAGAGCGCCTCAACGACATAATAGTCTTTTACGCCTTTATTACTTGTACACAAAAACAATTGAACTTGAAAACATGGTGATTCACCTGTCGATTGAAGTTTACTCTGATTACAAACTGTGTGAAGACAAGACATCAAAGCAATGATTAAGTTGCTCCGCCATCTTCTCTCTTATCTAGTCTCTGTTTGCCTAACTAATTCGTTTGCCATATTTCATCGATACAATCAAGCTTAAAGATGCTCGAAATCACTTTCGTGAAGTAACTATATTTGAAGCCAAGCAGAAACCCACCATCCGCATTGGAAACGATACTCCGAAAGGCAACGTTGACCATTAAAACTCAAGAAAACTGCATTAAATCATCCAAAGCATAAAGTAAAAGCATGATGAGTTAGGGTAATCAGGTGTAAAATTATGGCACCTTATCAGTAAAGTAGACACCTCTTCATTGACAAAGGCCTAGTTCTTTCCCAATGCTGTCAAATTCCAGACTTGTTCATAGCCCATGACCATGTCTTGGTGTGAAGGTATTTTTAACAACCTACTTTAATTAAATCTGAAGCAGATTTAATGAATTTTTTTTCATGGAAGGCTACTCATTAAAAAGTCAAAAAAGCGTGCTAGAAAAGGCATTCTCTATCAACGTAGACGAGTAAAAAGCCAACACAGTCCAGATGTTTATGGTTCCGAGATAGCACCAAAATTTTTGCCAATTTTTCGGACTAATTTAATTTTTTAGGGCAAGAATATTCTCCACCTACTTTGTTGTACTTCACTCACATGAGGAAGAAATTTCTCATATTTGTGAGGTCGGTCTAAGGGTGTCACACATATGTGACGCTGGCGGTGAATGTGTCCACATGTGAAATTAACTTAAACAATCAGAATACGCTTTAATTTTTTGCCAGATGCTACACTAGACCATTAGCAAGAATTTATTCTTATTTGTTTTTATCGTATTTTGACTTTGACAAGTTCACTTCTGTGGTCTCTACTTCCAGAATCATCGAAAGGTGAATTAATTGTCCCCCGTTGCCCATCCATGCCATTCACCAATAACTAATGCTTCTGCCTCGAGTAGGAGATCTGTAAACTTTATTTCGCTTCAAATATTGGCTAGAAAGTGACCTTGTCCGTTCCTTGTCCTTGTCCTGATTAATCGGACCTAGCTATATGGAGAGCGCACCATGCGCAAACTTTTCACAGCAGCGGATGAACTTGTGCAGTCCATTTGCTTCTAAACTGGTCAGCATAGCCAGATTTAAAGTGGATAGGAGCGACACTAAACTGCACCATGTACACGTGTGTATGTGCGCTTAGGGGATTCAACATCTTGTACGACGAAAGTACAGCTAATTACCCTCCATTCGGTCTGCCGGGAGGCAGATCAGATCTGGAAACGACCTTAACCGGAAGGGTAGGGGAAGAAGAGAGTGGCAGAGTGAATTTTGGGAAGAAATGCCACCGCACAGCTACCTACCCAGCCACCTGCCTGCCTAATCACGACCACGGTGAACATGCACTTCTATCCTGCACAAATTAGTAACCACTGCCAGTCATCCCCATGATAGAAGGCAGGTTTTGACGGTTAAAAGTGTTGTCATGCCTCAGAATCTCCTCTCTATGTGGTCATTCACGTTAAGCGACGAGGGGGAGACTATGAACTGTC